TGTGTATGTGTATGTGTATGTGCAGACATCAACAATCGCTCTCGCAGTATACTAATGTCATGTGAAGCAGTGCAAAGTAAAGTGATGTAATGGAGTGCTATGTCATGTAATGTCAGTACTGGTGTGAAAAGCGCACCTGTGTTAATTTATGTGTGGTATGCATGTACTTGTGTATGCATGCAAACGTATGTGCATGCATGAGTTTGGTTTTGGCCGGTGTGTCAGGCAGGTAGGTAGGCAGCCAGCGGCAAGAAGGGTGGGCGAGTGTGCTGAGAGACTTTTTAGAGGCGTGGACGCGACTTGCTACAACTGCTTCGGAAGGCCGAGGGAACGCAATCTCGCTGTCGGCAGCAGGGTTTGGTTCGCCATTCGGCTTCGGGCTTCGGGCAGGCGCAACTGAACTCACTCTCCGCGGAAATCAAAGTGACTGGCCGATGGGATCCCAGGCTTTGGGCCTGGCGGAGAGAGCTTTTTGTCTCTCAAGTCCCTACTGTCTCCCTGTGCAGATTGCAATCTCGGCAACGGAGTTCCCTCAGCCTCCGGCTACGACGGAGACCGAGGCCAGTTGAGATTGGCAGTTTGTAGAAGCCTGCGCACCTGCACGCAGCACCGGGCTTTGCAGGTGCGCCAAATCGCCAGCAAGCCAGTTTACGATGTGGGCGCCTTGTGGGTCGAAGCTGCAGCCTCTGCGGGTCTTTGATCGCCCTCTGAGGCTGTGGCAGATACGACGACATTCAGCCTGGACACGAACCTGACATTCCGTCACTTCGCAGGTGTCGTGGACAGCAGCATCCTTGGCCATGAAAGGTGGAAGAGGGCACGATGGAAGTAGGCTTTGCACACTCAGCCTCTCGAACTGTACGATTTGACACTAGACTCCTCGATCCTCGATCATTCTCCTCGGCGTAAGATATTTTTGCCTGGACTCCTGTGCTGTGGACGCCCAGGCAGCTCAGAAAACACCCAGTGGCCTCGACCTGTGCTCGCTGCCGCCGTTGCTCTCCTGGACGGTCGATCCAACGACCGAGCCTCGATGATTGGATTCGATTTCACTGATTCCTTCATGGTTCGGTTGCAAGGTCGTCCTGCGCACTGGAGAGGCAGATACCGACCATGG